TTCTTTTTTGTCTATGCAAATTTCACGAGCTTAATTTACTAAATTTGTCAACTAGTCTGCATAATAATAATATATTTTAATTTCTTTTAACATATTAGACTCTAATATTTAGTTGGTATAATTTGACTTTATAATTATCAATATATTTTGTTTATGTTTGGTTGGTGTATATTCAAATTTTTTAGACATTGAAAATTTGATATTTTTGTTAGAATGTGTAGACGTTGATATATTAACACTTTAATTTTTTGAAATATTTATTTTTGTTATAGATGTGTTTTTTGTTAGAAAATTTGATATTTTCGTTAGAAAATTTGATATTTTTGTTAGAAAATTTGATATTTTATTACATGAAAAGAGAAAATAATACATAAAAAATATATATAAACATGTTCTAATGATGGATCGGACGGGTTCACAGATCATGATCTATTTTGACAACTCTAATGATAACTTCATATATTTAGATAGTGTGATAATTGAGAAACTATATTTAGTGTTATATTTTTCTCCTTAAATGTACTTCCCTAATGAACCAAATATGAACCCGTATAAATTAGAAATACACCAAAACATATACACTTTTTTTGATCTTAATTTATTGTAAAATATTTTTAATTAAATCACACATATTAATATAAATAATTATGTTAGTCGATTTTATTGGACTTATAAAATAAATTATTGATTTATCAATTTTATTCTTCTTATTTATCAATAAATTTTGATAAGAGAAGTGAAAATATTATTCAATATAAAAGTTTATGTACTAATATCATCGTAAATGATAAATATTAATAAAAAAAATTAAAAAGTGAAAGAAAAAAATAAATATTTTTATGATGTTTGATAAATATAAAAAATAATAATATAATACTACTTAAAAACCTATAAAATATCTTATAAAAAAAATTAAGCTATGTCTTATAATAAAAAATCGAAAGCGGTGTAACTTCGAATAAAAGCAAAGTAAACCGTAAAATACTAATATTGTTAATGATGTTAGTATCACAAAACCTAATTAATTACATGCTTGAATATTGCATTTAATTAGGAGTGTATCAAACCTACGAAAAACTATAAAAAAAAAATACTAAAGTTAGTTCAAGCGAATTAGCATTTGAACATATATAGTTTTTGCATCTAAACTTTGTTGTGCACTTGAGATTTTTGCACACATATCCCTATATATTAATAAAATATTATCCAGTTTTGGTCTAATTAAGTTTTTATAGTTTTATTTTTTTTATCACTTAAAAGGTTTTTCTTTATTAATAAAAAACTTTGCGTGACAAGTAACTCCTAGTGCATAACGAGTGTAATTAAGGCTGATAGTTTCGACTAGGAGATTCGCTAGATGAGTATAATGAAATTAGTTGGTGAATCTAGACATATGATCTCTTGAGTTGAAAGTATTCTTGATTACGGATTCATAAACGAAGAAAAGTTTTCTTAGGAACATGAATAATTAGAAGGTGTATATCGTTATCGTGAGTCAACAATAGAATCGTAGTGCAAGTATCTAGAGCATGGTTAAGCTCTATAGGCAACCTTCAAATACTCATGAATTGAAAAGTTTGCTTTCGTTGCAAATTAAGGAGGGGTTAAACTTAGTCCTTTATTTAGAAGAAGGGTTGTTGAGATACAATTAAAATCTTACATTGTTCATATGAGATGATGAACATTAATTGAGTTTAAACACACAAAGTTTGTACTAGTAAAAAGTATTCTCAGTGATAACTAAAAATAAAATCACGAGAACTTAGATTTAAAATATATAATATTTTACATATATAAAGACATGTGTGTAATAATCTCGAATGCACAACAAGTATTATAAAGTCTCACTAATGATCTACACACAACATTAATTTTTTACATTTTCTTCACTTAAAACTTATCTATCAAATTTTACCACTTAAAAAAAATATATGTCAACATTTTCTTTCTTCAAGACTCTAATCTCTCATCTTATCTTATGTATTCTTTTAAGTTTTATCAAACTTCAAGTTTCAACTAAATTCTTTTACTTATCTTAAATTTTAAAAATTATTTTATATATTAAATCTATCATAAATCTTCAATTTTGATAAAAAAAAATAATACGCAGTGTTTAAAATAGGAAAAAAGTTAAAAGAAATTAAATTTGTTTAATTTTAAAATTAGAGAAACTTAATTCATAAAATGGAAATACTTAAATTAGATACTAAGAATCGAAAGACCCATTTGCTATAACATTACAACCAAGTTCCTCACCAAAAAAGAAAAGTATTACGATGAAGAGCGTTTAGGCATGAGACCCGTGTTGCGATATTTAGCTAGCTACTTATAGTTTTAGCCACTTTGAATAGTAAAGGATAATGTTATTAGTTATTACCCACACTTCTCTCTCACATCTTTCTTTCCAATTCCCCCTTAGGACATCTTTTACTTTTTTCTCACTTTTTTTTTTCTTCCTATCTCTTTATTTTGTTCTTTTACTTTTTATAACAAAATTACACAGCTTGTTGATGTGGGTATAGTTTTACATTCATTGCCATTCACGAGCTACTAAATACGAGTAAAAAACAACTTCAAGCAGTAAATTAAAAAAAAAAGCTCTATCCATAAATACTAGAATATTTGTGAATATGCATTATACAATTTTTTTTTATTGATTCGAGAATTAATGAAGGTGAAAAAATTATTTAGATTCAATTGATTTAACTTGATTTTTTTTTTTTTGTGGCGGGTTTAGGACCCATATGAACTTGTTTTGATTGCTAAGAAAATGTTTCTGAAGTGCGTCATTTTGTCACTTCATTTATTTTTAAAATAATAATTACTAGTTATCATGTTAATAATATTTTATAGTTTTTATCATATTTTAATCTCATCAGGAATATTTTAACAAATAATATGTTTATATAGAATATAAATATATATGAGAAGATATTTATTTACTTCAAAAATAAGTCTGTCTATATTTATTTTGTTCAATATCTCATTAGATTTATAAAATAAGTTACACAACCTGTTGCCTCCTTTTTAATAGGTTTGTGGTGGAGTGACTCGTAGTCATAGATGAGGCTAAAGCAAATACGCAAAAGACTAGTCATAGATGGTGCGAAAGATAATTGTGATAACGAGAAAGAAAAATATATGTATTTCTCCTAATAGATGTTAAATATTTGCCATATAGAATTAAGTCACATATCGATTTATTGAAACATATAGTTTACACGGTGTTATAAAAAAAATTTATCACTCTTGATCAAACATAGCTTAGTATGAGCAAATTTCTTTTGTACTTCATATCGAAGAATGTTTATTGATTATATATCTATCTAATTAATTAATTTGTAAAGATAAATGAACTTTAATACAATGTAAAACCTATAATAACAATTACAACTTGAGTATTCGAGAATGTCATCTTTCTCTCCAATTTTGGATGTGATGTGAAGTAGCAACAGATCGAGCACCCACGAGAAACTTTGAGCTTGACTCTTTAGGGGATCGATCTGTTAAGTGTTAAGTATTAAGTTTATCACTTTAAAAAGATAACTGTTGTGCCATAATTCTAATCACTTACTACACTCAAAGTGTCAAAGTGCAATCCTCCTTTCTTTTTGTTGTAATAAGCAACACACATCCCTACTATATTTCCCTCACTTTTCATCCATCCATTCATCTCATTCTCAAACTCCAACTAACAACACGTACCTTAGTCCGTTCACCATGACTCAAAGGGATTTAGTCTAGTTGAAGCATATTAGGTTTGGAAAATATGAGAGTGTGTATAAACAAGGATATCTTTAACTCAATTCATTAAAAAAAAAGTATTCAATTGAAGAGGGGTATACTTATGTCACTTTAATCTTGGAGACTATAAAGTTTCCTCTCTACGGTTTATATATATATATATATATATATAATGAAGAGGGATATGTTTAT